TTCTGCCATGTGAGGGATTCTAATCATCCCATTGATTGGTCTTCCTCCAAAATAATCTTTCCTGCCTCTACTCTACACAGACGCCGTCTTGTAGAATTGGCTCTAATACACAATGTACCCAACATGAACTTGAGTCCTGGCTTTGTTGCTGTGAACTTTTCCCTTTCACAGTATATACTCAAATGCTCTAATCATTCTAACAAACGTGACCTAACATAAGCCTACCCCTGCCATTTATCTTTCTTTCTCTTTCCTTTTCTTTCTCTCTTCTCCCTTTTTCTGTTCACTGTCTTCTCCTACGCTCCCTTGCTTTCCTCTTCTTATTCCTATCTCCTTCTCATTCGGTGGTTATAATAGGAGCTGCCTCGTATGGGCCAATAGGCCCTCTGCAGCTCTTATTATTATTACTATCCCCTCTACTACACCTTACTTTGCTCCTCAGCTCTCTCTTGCCTATTTATTGCCTGTCTCTATTTCCTCATCACAATCGACTTGAGAATGGTCCAGGACGGACCGAAACGTCGTCGTCCCTTTACCTTCTAGTGTGTGGTCTGGTCAACATACTTTAGCCACGTTATTGTGACTCATCGCCTGCTTAATATTTCTTGTACACTACAGTATATGCAAATTTCACAAAATTTTAATTTAGACCTATCATACGATGGACAATTACCAGAGGAACCTGATCTGTAAAGAGATTGTACCCTCACTGCCAGCATTTCTCACGACCCAGGTTCATAATCCTCATTTTATAAAACTGTCATTTCACAAAAATAAGCATTAAATGTAATGAAGTACCATTTTCTGGGTGAGACCCGGAGGCTCCCTGGAGCTATCCAGGCTGATATATATAGTATTAGACTTTGGCATCAGTCAGTGTGAATGGAGTTCTAGGCCTACCGGGGATCACGAGCCAGAACCTGGCCCCCTCAGAGAGGCATGAGGAGCAATGGCCTATAGAAATGCACATGGGATTTGGAGCATTCTATAAGAACATAAGAAGAACATAAGAACAAAGGTAACTGCAGAAGGCCTATTGGCCCATATGAGGCAGCTCCTATTCTATAACCACCCAATCCCACTCATATACTTGTCCAACCCGTGCTTGAAACAATCGAGGGACCCCACCTCCACAATGTTACGCGGCAATTGGTTCCACAAATCAACAACCCTGTTACTGAACCAGTATTTACCCAAGTCTTTCCTAAATCTAAACTTATCCAATTTATACCCATTGTTTCGTGTTCTGTCCTGTGTTGATACTTTTAATACCCTGTTAATATCCCCCCGGTTATGTCCATTCATCCACTTGTAAACCTCTATCATGTCACCCCTAACTCTTCGCCTTTCCAGTGAATGCAACTTAAGCTTTGTTAATCTTTCTTCATATGAAAGATTTCTAATTTGGGGAATTAACTTAGTCATCCTACGCTGGACACGTTCAAGTGAATTTATATCCATTCTATAATATGGCGACCAAAACTGAACTGCATAATCTAAATGGGGCCTAACTAGAGCAAGATATAGCTTGAGAACCAGACCAGGTGTCTTGTTACTAACGCTGCGATTAATAAATCCAAGTGTCCGATTTGCCTTATTACGAACATTTATGCATTGATCCTTTTGTTTTAAATTCTTACTAATCATAACTCCCAGATCCCTTTCGCAATCCGACTTCGCAATCACAACACCATCTAGCTCGTATCTTGTAACTCTATCATCATTACCTAACCTCAGAACTTTACATTTATCAGCATTAAACTGCATCTGCCAATCCTTTGACCATTTCAAAACCCTATCTAGATCAACTTGAAGTGATAGTGAGTCCTCCTCCGAATTAATTTCCCTACCGATTTTCGTATCATCGGCAAATTTGCAAATGTTGCTACTCAAACCTGAATCTAAATCATTTATATATATTATAAACAACAGAGGTCCCAGGACAGAGCCTTGAGGCACTCCACTTACAACATTTTCCCACTCTGACTTGATTCCATTTATACTAACTCTCTGTTTCCTTTGGTATAGCCATGCCCTAATCCAGCTTAATATAGCACCCCCAATACCATGAGACTCTATCTTTTTAATCAGTCTTTCATGTGGCACTGTATCAAAAGCTTTGCTAAAGTCAAGGTATACAACATCGCAATCCTTACCACTATCAACTGCCTCAACAATGCTAGAATAAAAAGATAACAAATTTGTTAAACATGAACGGCCATTTATAAAACCATGTTGCGACTCAATTATTAATTTATGTTTTTCAAGATGAAGACGAATTTTATTTGCTATTATAGATTCGAGTAACTTTCCCACAATAGACGTTAGGCTAATTGGTCGATAGTTAGACGCAAGTGATCTATCTCCTTTCTTAAAAACTGGTATCACATTAGCAACTTTCCAAAACTCTGGCACTCTGCCTGACTCTATTGATTTATTAAATATGGTTGATAGTGGGTCACAAAGCTCCTCTTTGCATTCTTTAAGCACCCTGGCAAACACTTCATCCGGCCCTGGGGATTTGTTTGGTTTGAGTTTTACTATTTGTTTAAGAACATCCTCCCTGGTAACTGCTAAACTCGTCAACCTGTCCTCGTCCCCACCCACATAGACTTGTTCGGCTGAAGGCATATTGTTAAGTTCCTCTTTAGTAAATACAGATACAAAATATTTATTAAAAATACTACTCATCTCTTCATCACTATCTGTTATTTGACCTGTCTCAGTTTTTAATGGACCTATCCTTTCCCTAGTCTTAGTACGATATAACTGAAAAAAACCTTTAGGATTTGTCTTTGCTTGCCCTGCTATGCGAACTTCATAGTTTCTTTTTGCTTTCCTTATCTCTTTTTTAACATTTCTAACCAGTTGTATGAATTCCTGTTCTAAAGTGACCTCCCCATTTTTAATCCTTTTGTACCAAGCTCTCTTTTTACCTATAAGGTTCTTCAAATTCTTTGTTATCCACTTTGGGTCATTAGTATTCGATCTATTCAATTTGTATGGTATACTACGTTCCTGTGCTTTGTTTAGAATATTCTTAAATAAGTTATATATTGAATCCACATCGAAATCCCCATTTAAGTCACCTATCGCTGGGTTCATGTCTCGCTCCAAGACCGGCCCACACCCCATACCCAAGACTTTCCAATCAATTTGACCCAAAAAATTTCTTAGGCTATTAAAATCAGCTTTTCGAAAATCTGGCACTTTAACAGAATTTTCTCCTACTGGTCTATTCCATTCTATGCTAAATCTGATTTCTTTGTGATCACTGCTCCCTAGCTCACTCCCTATTTCGATGTCATTAATTTGCGTTTCCCTGTTAGTTAACACTAAATCTAAAATATTATTATGTCTGCCATCGACCGGGCCAGGCACCCAGAAAGGTAAGCTCTTCAAAACAAACCCCTATTCTGGTTAAAACGACTAAAATAGACAAACGAGTGGACAGAACTCCCCAAATGAAAACAAGCATGATGTCACACATGCCTCATCACATATCTGCGCAGCTCCCCCCTCCCCGGAAGGTGAAAGGAGGAGCCCCAAACCCACCGTGCCGGCAATCCACCCGCCAGTTCAAGGCTGGATGTCAAAACACGCGGAAAAAAAAAAAAAAAGCCGAGGGAAGGGGGGTTGCCGGGAAGCCTCCAGATCTCGCCCAGAAAATGGCATTTCATTACATTCAACGCTGGTTTTCTGGAGGGAGCCCCTTGGTCTCACCGGAGCTACATCACCAAAGTCAAAACTAGAGACTTACCCGGGAGGGGGTCGGTGCTCGCACCTCAACTCGAAGTTGAGACAACAGGCTGCAACACCGCCGACCCAAATCGAAACAGGCTCGACTAGGCCTTGGAACAAGCCACTCACGGGGGCCAAGCAGGGGGTACCACTGGTGGTTATCTTGAGATGATTTCGGAGCTTAGCGTCCCCGCGGCCCGGTCCTCGATCAGGCTTCCTTTTTGTTACACCCCCCATCCATGAAGCAGCCTGTAGCAGCTGTCTAACTCCCAGGTACCTATTTACTGCTAGGTAACTGGGGCATCAGGGTAAAAGAAACATTTTGCCCATTTGTCTCTGCCTCCACCGGGAATCGAACCCGGAACCTTAGGACTACGAATCCAAAGTGCTGCCCACCCAGCTGTCAGGCAGAGGCCAAGACCCTGATATAACTGGGGCAAGGGCAACAAAGGCAGACCCCCTACCAGGCAGAAACAAAAAGAAAAGAAAAACCCCGCAAGAGGGCAACGTCCAGGAGGAACAGAGCCGGCTGCTGTAATAAGTGAAAACTAGCTGCACAGTACCCTGTGCCCCACCAGTGCAAAAACTACCACTTACCCCAAGGTAAACAGGGTAGGAAAGAACCCCCCCCCCCAACACACTTGGGGTGGTCAATCACTGAGCGGCAAAAGACCAACAGAGGTGGACCCCAAGGTATCTTGTGGAAGATAACCCTAAGTCTATTTGTCTTTTTTAATTGTTTTAACCAGAATAGGGGTTTGTATTGAGACGCTTACCTTTCTGGTTGCCTAGCCTGATTGATAGCAGAAACAGAATGCTCCAAATCACATATGCATTTCTATAGGCCATTGCTCCTCATGCCTCTCTGAGGGGGCCAAGTTCTGGCTCGTGGACCCCGGTAGGCCTAGAACTCCATTCACACTGACTGATGCCAAAGTCTAATGATATACATGTATATCAGCCTGGATAGCTCCAGGGAGCCGAAGGGGCTCCCCCCAGAAAATTACGTAACTGAATCATGTCAATCGACCTTCCAATGCTCAAAACTATAAGATTTTCTTAAAATAATATTGGGTATACATTCCAATATATAATTTAGGACATATGCTTTCAAACCATTTTCAGAATTATATTTTTGGCACTAACACAGACCTTACCCTAACCTCAACTGAACAATAAAAAAGGGAAGTATGGATTTCAGAGTTGCCAGTGTACAACAGTTACAGACTGACGATTACCATCCATAAGTGCACACTTACCCTTAGGCCAGCTGCAGGAGATCTGATGAGGCTCATGCCTTTCCTCACTTCCACAATATCAGCAACACGCTGGTACTCCCGACTCTTCATGAGGCGGTCCATTACAAACTTGCCTTCACGTTTTGTTCTGATCTTGGCCACCTTCTTCATCGCTTCCACTGTCAGTAGATGAGCACACCAACATTAGATACAAGCATTTGTTCAATTCATAATCATTTTCCCTTATGTTATACAATATAGTATTTATAGCTATACATAAAAGTGATAAACCAGCAAAAGAAATATAATGGAAGCAAGCTTAACATCATCCAAGAACACTAATATAATATAATATTCAATACCCTGATCACTCTACCAGACACTCTTCATACTTCTACATGCTAATTACCCATAATGAATAAAGATACAATTTTGCATTCCATTTATAATAAATGCAATAACGATTTGCTTAAATAATGACAAAATAATGATTTACAAAATTACAATTTTGGCAGGAAATAAAAGTGTTAAAGATTCACTTTTATGACTATGTGAATAAAGAAAATTTAACATTTAGTAACTTCAGACTTATTCTTAGAAACTAAATAAGTACTAAACAATAATTTTCCGTGCAAAATTAAATTTTTTTTTTTGAGCTCATGTATGACAAAATATCACCAGTACCCACGTGTTTCCTGCCACAATTCCCGATTATATTTAATTGGAATATTCCTCCTTTTCTCAAATTCGAAAGAGGGGTCAACAGTCAGCTCTTTGCCCGCTGCCTTCCTGAAAGACTTGGTCCATCGAACAGTGCGTGGATTTCGCTTCCTCTTGAAATTCTTTTGACATCTTGGCCGGCAAAATCTGAAGATCTGAAAAAACGATATTCAAATTATGAACAGCAATATTATTCTCAAATTAATTACACTAGAAAAAAGTGATAACACAGATTACAACTAGATATGAGTCAACTACATGGCAATTGAATATTGTCAATCATCTACTTCAGGAATCTTAGGAGACTACAGCTCCCACTCCTGCTATATGACATGACTGGAGACGACCCTACAATTCCCAGAGAACTGGCAGTCTGGTGCATGCAAGCAACAACATTGTCAGTTCATCTCGTTCCCTGCTTGGGCTTGTACATACTTAACAATATACTTATTGTGACCGATGACATTCATTTTCTTAACCGTGGTCTGGTGGTTGTGGTAGTCACTAAAATGGTATATAGCCATGGAATTGATAACATGTCCAGCCATTCCCCAAGAAGTGGTACACAACAACAATGGTGACTGATCAGGCTGCCAGCATCTCTCATGACAGACCCCACAGGCATGGTTTGCACACACCCTCTCTGATGTCTATAAGGACTTCAACAATGCATAACAGTACATAAACACCTTGTACCCGATTGTGCCTAGATGGTGTTCTGAGAGTAATTCTACTCCTCAAGTCCAGCCTGGGGACCAGGCTTGACTTGAGACAGCTTGGTCCAACAGGCTGTTGCTTGGACCAAACAGCCTGATTGATCTTGTACTTCAATGTCAATAAATATGACTTCAATATCAATAAATATATTTACTGAAACAAAATATTAGTACAGTGGTACCTCGGAATACGAGTGTCCCTGTATACGAGTTTTTCGGAATACGAGCCGGATTTCCTAGGAACATGTGCCTCGGAAGCGAGGGTTACCTCAAAACACGAGTTTGTTGATATGCGTACAGGCCGACCTAGCACGTGGTGGTACGGCGATCGTCGACCCTCCGCCCCCTCAGTTTACCAGTGCCTCGCACCCAGTGACTATCCCACGTCAATTCTTCACCCAGATTTTCAGTGTTTTGTTGGATTTTTGGTCATTTGATTATAAAAGTTATTATATATCTCACCATGGGCCCCAAGAAAGCCAGTGGTAAGGAACAAGGCAAGAAAGCCCATGTGAGGATGACAATAGAGGAGAAACAAGAGATCATTCGGAAGCATGAAAATGGTGCACGTGTTGTTGAACTTTGTAGGCAGTACAACAAAGCCATGTCAACAATATGCACTATACTTAAGAAGAAAAATGAGATTATGAGTGCTAAAGTGGCAAAAGGCGTAAGAACAATGACGAAACAAAGACCACAAATACTTGAAGAAGTGGAAAAGTTGTTATTAATTTGGATACACGACGAGGAATTAGGGGGTGATAGTGTTTCGGAGGCCATCATTTGTGAGAAAGCCAGGGTATTGCACGAAGACCTTGTAAAGAAAACCCCTGCAACGAGTGATGCAGATACGAAAGAATTTAAGGCAAGCAGGGGCTGGTTTGAAAAATTTAGAAAATTAGTGGTATCCATAGTGTTGCGAGGCATGGGGAGGCAGCCAGCTCAGACAAACCAGCCGCTGTACGATTTATTGAGGAATTTAAAGAGTTTGCAGAGGCTGAGGGATACCTACCGCAACAAGTGTTTAATTGTGACGAAACAGGACTGTTTTGGAAAAGAATGCCTAAGAGGACATACATTACCAAGGAGGAAAAATCCTTGCCCAGACACAAGCCTATGAAAGATAGGTTTATGCTTGTGCTGTGTTCAAATGCGAGTGGCGATTTGAAAATTAAACCCTTGCTAGTGTATCATTCTGAAAATCCAAGGGTTTTCAAACAGTATAAAGTGTAGAAAACCCAAATGCGTGTGATGTGGAAGTCTAATAAAAAGGCATGGTTGACTAGAATTATTTTGTCGGAGTGGGTGAAAGAAGTGGTGTGCCCTGCCATAGAAAAATATCTGCAGGAGAAACATTTGCCACTCAAGGCCCGGCATCTCCTCGACAATGCTCCTGCTCATCCTCCAGGATTGGAAGAAGAATTGTTGCACAGATACAGTAAATTTCTCACAATACAGTTCCTTCCTCCTAACACCACTCCTCTAATTCAGACTATGGACCAGAAAATCATAGCGAATTTTAAGAAACTGTATGAAAGGGCACTTTTCCGGAAATGTTTTGAAGTGACTGAAGCCACAAACCTCACTCTCAAAGAGTTCTGGAAAGACCATTTTAACATTTGTAGTGCTTTAAAACTCATTCACAAAGCCTGGCAAGAAGTAACTCAAAGAACCCTGATCTCTGGCTGGAGAAAATTGTGGCCTGAATGTGTGACAGAACTAGACTTTGAGGGGTTTGAACCTGTAAATGATGCGCTTATTGTTGAGGAAATTGTTACTCTGGGCCGGCAAATGGGCTTGGAATTGGATGGTGATGATGTGGAGGAGTTGGTGAACTCCAAGCCCTTCAAAAGGAACAGCAAGACGACCCAGCTGAGGATGTTTCTCCAGTGGAGGAGGATGAGGCAGTAGCGAATGTTCCTTCTGCACAAATTAAGGTGTGTCAGATGTGGGAAGAGATGCAAACTTTTATTGAAAAGACTCGTCCAGAGAAAGCTGTAGTAGGCCGTTGCCTTAATTTTTTCAATGACAATGTGATGCCTTACTACAGAGACAGCTTGCGAAGAAGGGAAAAACAAGCTTCCATGGACAGATTTGTTGTGAGAAAATCGAGCAGTGAGCCACAACCAGGACCTAGTGGTATGCAGGCAAAAGGTGCCAGGGAATGCACACCAGAAAGGTCCTCACTGCCTGATGTTATAATGGCAGGGGACTTCCCTTCCAAACAGTAACACCTCTCCTCCTCCCCCCTCTTCACCATCTTTCATACGCCTACAGCATTCAACAACAAGGGTAAGTAATAACTTGAACATAGTTTTGTAGGTTTATTTAGATGAATTAGGTATAAAATTTAGTTTGAAGTGGGGTTTTTGGGATAGTCAGGAACGGATTAATTCATTTCCAATTATTTCTTATGGGGAAATTAGCTTCAGAATACGAGCTGTCTCCAGGAATGGATTAAACTCTTAAACCGAGGTACCACTGTACTCATTACATACAGAAATCACAGTAACGTTATTTATATATATGATAAACTCCACAAGAGGCCGTGATGATGAACCGATGCGCTGGATATTCCCAAACATGCTCTAGACAACTAGGCCACGACACGGTCAAAAGAATTGCAACCTGGGGTTCTGCTCAACTCACGAGGATTCCCGAGGCTTCCACTGAAGCCGAACCAGGATTTCACACAATCCCCTCATGCACTCTGGCTCTGTCATCCAGGAATTCTACTTCTGATGCCCCTCCTTTAATACACAAGAGAAATAAGCCTAAAATGTACTAATATAACCGGGCTTCCTGTCCCCCGACATAATGAATTATTATTAGTGTTAGACATGGACGTCAGTAGTGGGCCTAGAGGGACTCCAAAAGCTTAAATCAAGTTTTCCTTAGTGTAAATTATTATACTGTACTGTATTATGATTATTATAATTAATTATTATTATTATTATTTTGGTTGCAAGATTTACAGTCATAACTTGAACGGTCAGAACTCTTGGTATTCGGGTTGGTCGCCCCTTTCCAACTGGCTCAAAAATAGCTTTACCGTTATACTTATAAATACAAACATGAATTAACCCTTAAAGTGCGCATCACTTCATATGAAGTGTAAATCGTTTTACCAGTCAACTGCGCTTCACTTCATATGAAGTGTATGGGTACCGCGCACGATTTGAATGGCCCGCGGTGTAGCTGGGGGTCCCATACGCTGCCCAGGGGCTCTAGTAAACAGCGGCCATTTTGAAAAAAAATCCAGCTCACGCTCCGATGGCATGGGAGGCCTCAGTTTAGCGAGAGTCACCATGGCGAGCGCACGGTCAAACGCCTCACGAGCACGCATCACTCAGTCCCTCACCCCAGAGCAAATAGCCCACGAATTATTCTCTGAAGGTGAAGAAAGTGTGTTTGACGATTCAGACAACGATGAGGATTATACACAGTTGTCGGGAGATAGTAGCAGCAGCAGTGAAAGTGAAAATGACCGCCATGCCATGGCGAGGCCTATACGCTCTCCCATGCCTCCTCGCCCATTTTCTACCCCAATTCTACCACGACCTCACAGTTCCTGTGGATATTTTCTGTTTGAGGGTGACGAGTCAGAGGGAGGTGACTCCTTTTCTGGGTTTAGTGACTCAGATCAAAGTTTTATTGAGCCTGTGGCTGGTACCAGTGGTGTAACTGGGCGAGAAATTGTCGCGTCAGCAGCATCTCGCCCAGCCAAGCGCCACCGCATGGCACCACATGAGGGACCAAGACCCTCGTGTTCACGTGCATCCACCTCACGTGCATCCACCTCACGTGCATCCACCTCACGTGCATCCACCTCACGTGCATCCACCTCAAGTGCATCCACCTCACGTGCATCCACCTCACGTGCACCCACCTCACGTGCACCCACCTCACGTGCACGTAGCCGCCGTGCTTCTCGCAGACGGTATTCAGCTCCTGGTCGCCGGTATGCATCGCTTCCTCGCCGTCCTTCCTCTGCATCTCGCAGGACGCCTGGTATACTTGAGTGGAGTGATGGTGACGATTTTATTCCTAATATTCCTCAGTTTGACGATAAAGATGTAGGGATTACAAACCTTTTCCCTAATCAAGGTGAGGACATGGCTGAGATGGAATATTTTACAGCATTCTATGATGAACCACTCATGGAATACATTGTACACCAAACGAACCTGCATGCTGCTTACCTGATTGAGAGGGAAATCACAGAATTTTCACGACTGCAGCGTTGGAAAAATACCACAGTGGCGGAAATGTATGTGTTTTTGGCACTCTGTTTGTTGATGAAGCACTGTCACAAACATGCAATAAATGACTATTGGAGCAAGGACAAGACAATACCAACACCTTTATTCGGGAAATATATGTCACGAGACAGGTTTCAGATACTCCTCAGGTGTCTACATTTTGGAAGTGTTCAGGAC